ACCCTCTGAGTGCGACCCCTCAGCCAATCTGCAATCCATCTGACTGTGTAGGCATCGATGCCACAGTCTCCTAGTTTTTTAACTAGGATGGGGTGAGAGACGGTGTCAAAGGCCTTGCTGAAGTCCAGAAAGACTACATCCACTGCGACACCTGCATCCATGGCCTTTGTGACCTGATCGTAGAAGGCAATCAGGTTGGTCTGACATGATCTCTCCCTAATAAATCCATGCTGATTGCCAATCTGTATTTTTGGATTAGACCAAGGCTGTCTAATCCCTAAGAGGGTGGGGCCACATAGCCTACAGGCTGCACCAGTGGGGACAGCACACCACAGGGGCAGTTCCAGCAGATGCCATGACTCCCCGCCCCTCGGGCTGTATACCATGCATGTAGGCAGGTGGACACTCCCCCACCCTGCTGCATTGTACTGCTTGGAGGAAGGTGGGTGCCCTCTTGCTTTCTCCCTCCCCTTACCCTCTGCTGAACCATGTTCTAGTGGGCAGGTGTTCCCCCATCTTGCTGCACTGCACATATTGGGGAGGGCATCCCCACCTCCTGCCCTTACATAGCGCAGTAGCCTGCCCCACTTGCACCTCCCTGCAGGTTCCTCTTTGACACCACACTGCATGGGTGCTTTGGACTGCCAACTCACATGGTGCTGTGGCCTGCTTTGCACTGCCCCACACAGCCCCCATTCATTACCTGGATTAACATTCATGCCCTGGGGCTGGGTCAGGCAATGAAAGCTGGAGCAGGGAAGGGGAGCCCCAAGACCCCAGTTACTGCTGCAGCTAGAGGCTAGGTGGGCCATATATTAAGCCCTTGCAGGCTGTATGCAACCTGTGGACTACCAATTGGACAGCCTTGATTTAGGCCATACTTATACATATAATCCATACATACGATCTAGTCTGTGAATTGTTTTGCAATTTCCTATTCAACTTTGTTTTTCAAGTTTTATTGTCTAAGAACAGCCACTCTGAGGTCAGCAGTGGAATGTCCAGGGAGGGAGAAGTGTTCTGCCAAAGGCTTGTATGTCTTGCTGAAGCTAATTTCAGATCAGTGTTCATCCATTCTTTCACACAGATATTTCCCAATCTGTCCAATGCGAGCAGGGAGCCATTGTAAGCAGGTAACAGCACCCATCATGCTGATACAGTTGCAAGTGAATGAACCTTGGGTGTTAAAATCCATGCTATTTGCTCCAGCAATAATGCAATCCATACTGATGGCACAGTAGATATCTGAGTCCACTTAAAGACCCAGTACCTCAGTGCAAATGGGAGGTAGCTAATCTGTTGCTTGAGGGATGCTGTTTGAGGTTGGGAGGCTGCCTATAAACCAAGACAGAATCGTCTCCCATGACTACCTTGAGATGGTTATCTTTTTCCAGAAGAGTTGAGGGGTCACTAATCATGTGTTTCAGTTGTTCAAGCTGAGGTCTGTAGGTGGCATCTGGAGGTATTCTGTTGTTCTCGTCTTCAGGTTGATATTGTAGCAGGTTGGTGTGAGGTCTGAGTCTGATTTTGTTGAGTGGCTACTGGTTTGGGATTATATTGTAATTGTAGGAATTCATGTTCCAGATCCTCAAGGTGTACATCCTGGTTGGTGGGATCAGAGCAGATACAGTTGTAATGTAGAGCTTGGGAGTAGACGATGGATCTAATAGTGTGTTTAAGATGAGAGCTGCTGGCATGGAGGTAGTTGTAGCAGTGTATTGGTTTCTGATACAGTATAGTGGTGACAATATGGCCATTGCAAACTTTCATGGAGGTGTCTTCAAAATTAATCTGCTGGCTGGAGTATTCCACAGTTAGTTTTATGGAGGGCTGGAAATGTATAAAGTCTTGGTGAAATTTCTGTAAAGATTCCATCCCACATGTCAATACAATGAAAACATCATCAGTGTACCTTAGGTATACCAGGGGGATAAGAGGGCAGCTGTAGAAGAACTGGACTTCAAGATCTGTCATAAATATGTTGGTATATTGGGAAGCCATACTCGTGCCCATGGCGGTGCTATTTGTTTGTAGGTACAGGGAGTCTCCAAATTGGAAATGCGGAGGGCAAATCAAGAGTGTGTGATAGAAGGAGAAGCAGTGTCCTCATTGGGGATATGTTATTTTTGGCTTGTAATCTGTTCTCATGGGTTATTTTACTGTACAAAGATGTAACGTCCATGTAGCCAATATGGTGTTAGCTGGAATCTTGTTAATGGAACCTAATTTCTTTAAGAAATCTGTGATATTTTTCAAATAGCTGGCAGCTCGTGGCACTGATCCCTTGAATCTGGCATCCTGTCTCTTAGGGCATTTTTACATAGGTATGTGCTCCAGCACTGGGCGCTGTGATGCATGCAGTTGTATAAGCTGTGAAATGCGCGTCGGCATGCAGAGAATGGTGGCGGTCGACATCAAAGGTGTTTTAGTTCAAAAGCTCACCACTGCCATTTTCTCTGTGTTGATATGCATTTCGCCACTTATACAACTGCAAGCAACACAGCACATCACAGCATGAAAAAGTATGTGTATAAATGCCTTTTAGTGCCCAGAAGCTTTAGAAGAGAAAGCAAGAAACCACCCAGTGGTCAATCTGCTCATAGCAGAAATGTCATTTTAACTCCTGTCAATTTAAGTCCAGAAGAGACCCATGAGCATGATCAAAGGGCAAGAGCACAGACCTTATGAAGAGAGGCTAATAGCCATGGGACTCTTCAGCCTGGAAAAGCTGAGGCTCAAGTGGTGTGCATCAGGATCTGGGGGAATGCCTGTTCACCAGAGCACCCCAAGGGATGACAAGGTCCAACGGTCATAAACTCCTTCAAGACCATTTTAGGCTGGACATAAGGAAAAACTTCTTTACTGTCCAAGCCCCCAAGGCCTGGAATAGACTCCCTCCAGAGGTGGTGCAACCACCTACTCTGGACTCTCTTAAGAAACGTTTGGACGCTTATCTTGCTGGGATCCTTTGACCCTAGCAGATATCCTGCCCCTTGCAGGGGGCTGGACTTGATGATGTTCCAAGGTCCCTTCCAGCCCTAATGTCTATGAAACATTAATTAATTCTTGGTTTATGTGCTGAAACATGAAGTTAGATCTTTCCTTCTCTTTTTAAATTTTATTTAGCATAACTATGGATACCTTCATATTGACTATAATCTTTTCTTGAATCTTACATAATTTTTGGTTTTTATTCTGGTAGAAATGAGTTTTACAGGTGAATTTAATGTTGGCTCAAGAGTTTTTTTTTTCTTTTAACAATCTTAATTATTGTTACCTCTCAATTTTATCTTGCATCCTTTTGTGAAAAAGGTAATTATTGTGTGCCTGATGATCTTTTCTATATTATTTATCATTTTTAGGTCAAACTAAATTATCAGAATGGTTCCTTACTGCTTTTAAAGTCTGAGTTGTTGTCTGTTAGCATTGTGACATATGGCAAGAATAATGCCCTGTTGTGTAGTTACTGACAGTTGTTGACCCCAAAAGACTACAGCATAAACAAACAGAAGAACAAAGAGTCAGAAGTAATACTTTTCCTTTTCCTTTTACACAGATGGGCAACTAAAACACAAAGCAGTTTACCCAGGATCACACAATAGATTTTATGATAGAATAAAATGTTGAATCTGGATCTTATGTATGCCAGTCCTTTTCATTCAACACTGCCCTCCTTGTGTTTTAGATGCTTATATATCCTTGTCTTTGTCTTTTATCTAAGCAATCTCACTTGAAGGTCTTCCATTATGTAGAGCTTTTTCATGCCTCTATTTTTATTTCTCATTTCTGAATTTCTGTTCCTCTCAGTGTGGAAAGAATTAGTCATGTGCCTGACTGTCCTAAATAATCTGCCTCCAAAGGAGAGACAGTTAGGATATAGTGATTCAGTTCATTCTCAACATAGTCTTTGCAGATGTGGCTCCCATGAAACACTAGTCACAGGTTTAAAACTTCCAGGCAATGTCAGTACTCCTCTAGGAAGAGAATTCTGAGTCTTCAGCATCTTGTAACATTGTGGGGAGGGGGGAGATAAATCCATTGTTTCTCCAGTAAAATAGCAGCCATGAACATAACATAAGTATCTTGCAGGGTTTACTTTAAGAAGTGTCAGATGGTCCGTGTCAGCTGATTGGTTATTTGGATCAGTTTGTCATGTGCAATGCCAGCTATCTGTATAAAGCAGTGGTTTTCAAAACTGTGTTCCTCAGTACCTTGGGGTTCCACAATAAGTCTTTAGAGATTGGGGGTATTGGCAAAGTGGGCTGGGAGGTACTGCAACACCCTTGCTGGGCCAGGTCACTTGGCTCCACATCAGCTCTCACAGCCTGCAGAGCCAGGGTTAGGTGTTCTGTGACTTCAAGAAGTTTCAAAACTACTAGTTTAAAGCACTCACTTGTTGGTAAGCGGTTTTCCAAATCAAAACTAAACTTTCAAGATTGCTTGAGCTTGGTATTCTAGTCTAGTCTTACTACCTTAGTATTTCAGCGTTTTCTATAGGTGTCTTAAATGTGAGAGTGACATTTGTTACATGTTTGTTCTCTCAATTTTTGTAGGGAGAGAAACGATACACACTAGTAAGTGTTTTTGGTTAAAATTATATATGATGTGCATGAGTAATATGTGTGCATATGCACATACAAAGCATGTATGTTAGAGAAGAGCATGTAAAAGAAATTGTCAGATGAGCAGCTTACAATATTGTAAGTTTCTGAAATGATTGCATAACTTTGCAGGGATTAGAGATGTAAAATTTCCATAAATTTGAAGCTATGGAAAAAACTTTTTTCCCCTCTTTTTTTTGGGGGGGGGGGGAGGACAGAAATTTGCAGGAAAATTGAAATATTTGCAGTATTTATTTTCTTAGCATCTTTTACAGATCTAAATTCACTTTGCTACTTTAAGAACACAAAATGTATGAATTCTAAGGAACCTAGGATCTCTTAGTTTTTGCCAGTTTGAGAAGCAGACACAAATTAAAGCTGAAAATAGAAGAAACCATCAACATAGTAAAACAAAGAAAGTTATCATGTATTCTGGATTTAGTCTCCTCCACACACTGTCAAGCAGATACAGAAAGCACTCATTTTTAGAAAAAAAGCTGAGAATAAAAGAAAAAAAAAACAAACTCATTGAATACAAATGTTGCTACATGAAACTTTGTCTAATCAGTCTAGTTTTCTGAGCTGTCACTATCAGCAGTTTCTGCTGTTTCTGATCCTTCAGATCCTTCATTTATATCATCTTCATGGACTTCTGAAAGCTGAAGGTTTGCCTGGACTAAGACAAGTTTCTCTACTCTTTCACTGCTAGTTTTTTTTTTCTTGATTTGGTGCAAGTATTTCCAAACATAGGCCAGTTTCTTCCACATGCTGCAGAAAATGGAGGACTCTGAAGCAGGCGAGAAGCAAGAGGAGTCAGAGACTGTGTTGTGCAGAGGCCTTGCCACCATGTTGCAGGAGGGATATGCTTGGCAGAGTCCCAGGCTGCATTCCTGGCCCAAAAAGCTGAAGATGGTCTGTATTCTGCAACATTTGAAAGTACCTTTCCAACATTAAGTTCTGTGTTGCTTGTTTTGTAATCCAGTCAAATGCAGTAGCAGTGCTGTCATCACTATCTGCCTTTGAATCTTGGATCCAAGAGATTTACAGCATTGTGAATTGATTGGCAACAAAATTCTTCCTGTCTGTTAATAAAGTCTTTCACTTTTCTTTCTTCTGTACTTATAAGCGGAGATGCACTTAGATTCTCAAAACAGTTGATTTTATCTGGGCCATTTGATAAGGAATGTCTGTCAAAAGTGCACTGTCTGATTCAGATGCAGTGACTGCTGAAGGAATTGGCTTTAGAATCTTCAGGGAGTTTGGCAGCTGAACCCAGAAGACATCCTCATCAAGTACAGTGTTCCTTACACTTCTGGGTACTTTTAAGATCCTCAATTATTACTGTTTCTTGAAGAGCTTATTTGTTTTTTAGCAAACTTTCAAATGAGATCACCACTCCACCCCATCTAGTTTTACTACAGAGTTTGAGTGTCACTATTTTATTATTGGCATTCTTTTCCTCCTGCTTCTTTTTAAACACTACAGCTACAATGTGAGTAGCTTTTACATGTTTTATAACTCCTTCTCCTTGTCTATAGATCTTTTGCAGAGTGTGCAACTTCATGATGTCATTAAGAAGCAAATTTAGCCCAGGGGATGCACATCTTATTGCAGTAATATGTTGATATTTATCCATTATTATCCCCCATGCTGCTTTCATGTTACTTGCATTGTCAGTCAGCAAAGCAAATACTTTACCACTCCCAATCTTCTGTAGGACTTCACATATTTTACTACTGATGTACTCTGCAGTGTGCCTGTTCTCTTCTGTTTCAATGCTTCTCTAAAAAAAAAAAAAAATGGTTGAGGTGTTGTTATCACAAAGTTTATGATTCCTTCTTCCTGCACATTTGTCCATTCATCTGCAAGTACCACAAGACACAGTGCTTCGTTGAGTTTTCCTTGCACAGATTGCATTACATGTTCACATTCTGACGCTAAAAGAGGCTTGCTCAAGGAATGTCTGCTGGGCAAATTGTATGATGGTCTCGGTAATTTAAAAGCTTCCTGCCAGTATGCATTTTAAGTTACTGAAAGTGGCGTCCCAGAAGAATATATTGCTCTTGAAAGAGCTTGATTTAATTTTTTCTTGATCTTCAGCTGTCATCTTGTCTACAAATTAAGCTATTGAGAGTCTTTTTGTATACAGGTGGTTGCAATATTTGGTTACGTGAGGATGTTGATTGGGCAACCCTTTGTGATGCTGATGTTATAGAAGCAGCAGCAGCAGCAGGACTTCTGGATTGAGAATGTTGGAAAGAGCTACTTGCACTTTCATCATCATGATCTACCTCCTCATTTATACCCATGAATGATTTTTTTAATGTCTGCAGGACATGTCTTACGTACAAGGATGTGTTTGGTCATCCTAGTAGTATTTGGAAATGCATATTTCATTTGACAGAATTGGAAATCATATTTTTTTTCTCAGAATAACTTGCAGTATGGAAATGCTTCCATATGCTAGAAGTTGGTCACACCATTTGCTGAGGGAGAAAAAAGAAAAATGTAATTTAGTGGCTAGCTTGCATATATAAACACTAAGCTACAGCATGTACAAATTTAGTAATGGATGGAGGAGAGGCCTCCTCAGAGTTAATTGTGAACAACTTCCCTGCCCTGCAGGCCTCACCTCTCTGCGAAGGTTGGGTGATTTGTCACAAAACATCAGATTAGTAGTAATTCAATTATGTATTACATAGGTTATGAAAATATACTAATGCAGCTAAAATATAGTTAAATTTATCTGAATTCAGTATATTAAAACTCTTACCTTTCAGTAAAGAAGTATACTTTCTTTCCGCTCCTTTGTGTTGCTTCTGTACTTCTGTGGATCTCCAGGTCACAGGGCCAGGAGGAGACAGGTTCCTTCCAACTCCAAAACCTTTAGACTTGCTCTGTCTCCTCTCCTGATGCTTTGGAGCGAGCAGGGCAATAAGCTCCTTGTTTCTAATTTCTACAGGAACGAATGGATGCTGCTGCCAGTGTCCACTCCCTGTCCTTTGAGGCCTAGTCAGGAGGACAGGAACAGATCAACCAACCTCTAGATCAAAAGTCAACAATAAAGGAAGTCCACAAGCAAAGAAGGCACTGAATCCTTCTTTCTTCTCTTGTGAAAATGGCAGTGTCCCCTGGGGGCAGAAATGCATCTTACTTTTGCATTTGAGAGTTGTACTGTACTGCTTGTCCTTGGTGTACAGGAATTGTAATGATCTGATACTGTAGATAGTCTTACATAAAAGTCTTCCTATTATATAGTTATTAGAAAACATTTTGGGGGAGTAAAGGGTAGCAATATATGAACACCTTGTCTTAAACATTTTATTCATCATTCTAGAAGAAAATATTTCATAAAAGATTGAAAATTTTTTGAAAAATTAAAAAACAATTTTTTGGAAAAAAACAAAAAAATCTTTGGAAAAAAATGGAAAAAACCATTTCCCCCCCCCATAATTTCTCTGTTTATTTTCGAGCCTTCACATCTCTACACCTGTGCCAGCAAACCCCATGGGTTGCAATATAACCAGTCATAGACTGCATGCAGCCAGCTGGCCCCCAGTTGCACACTTGGTTTAGGGGATAGAAGATAGGCTGAGTTTATTCTGTGGGAAAAGTACTATGTCAGTTTTTAGCATGAAATGTCACTTATAGTAGACAATGTATAACTTTTAAAGTATGACCATGTCTAACATGTAGACTACACTGGATTCTTAGTTTGGCTTCCCTTTAGTGAGGCCCAGGTACATTGCTTGGTTCCTTGATCGTAAAAAGTTGGCGGATCTCCCAAGTTACACCCGCTTCATGCAAGAGTAGTATTTCATCAGCACTAAATTTTGCATCTATGAATTTCCTTCTTCTGTCTTACACAAGGGATAAAATAGATAACAAGGTTTTGGCAGTCATTTAACACTTCACAGGGTGCATCTACATGTGAAATTTACAGTTTACATGTATGCCTGTATTAGGGTTCAGTACATTAATTAACTCCACCACAGTAGAGTACTGTATAGAATAAGTACAATCCTATAGCGAAGTAATTATGTGTTCATATGCATGTTTGGACTGTGACCAGGGCTGGCTGGGGCACAAGGGTGCTATAGTGTGGGAGCTGCATGCGGCCTAGCGCTGCACGGTAGCACCCTCGTGCCCCAGGCCGCCCTGACACCACAACCCGGATTTGAGGGCTGACCCCCTGGGCTCCCTGCAAGCCTGAGGTTGCTTCATCCCAGCTCAAATTGCTGTGGCCCTGGGCACACCTGAAGAAGCAGCATTCTCTTTTCTGATTGAAGAGAGGGTACTACTTTTTTGGCAAATACTCAGACTGCATTTTGTTTTAGCTCACTTATCTTTTTATTTTACTTGCATTTTTAGGGGCGTCTCAAGCTTTTTATTTTCTGGGGTAAGAATCATAGTAGATGGTAGCTTTATGAAAGGGAAAACTACCAACCTGTAATTCTGCTTCTTTGTAGCCTTCATTTTGATAGTATTCTGAGGTACCAGCTTATCTCCTTTAAGAATTTGGAAGTTATTTATATTGAACTGATTTGTGTTTTGTATGCTGATTTTGGTTTTGCACTGTCAGCTTCAAAATGATGCTATGGTTTGGCTTGTTTTGGGAATTTAGCCTCCTATATTTTCAGGATGAGATGGGAGTATTCTAAGGTCACCCATGAAAGATGGCAGGTGATAAGGGATGACTTGTAAGGCAGCTGTTTGAAAATCATGCTGTTCAGAATTTAGCTGGTCATAGGCTCAAAGACAAATCCAGGAAAACAAAATTTCTTTAAAACTTTTAAGAGAAATAGAATTATAGGTCAGTAATTTTCCTTTATATTTGCTTTTGCTTTTTATTTTTCTTGCTTAAAGAAAACTGTCTTAGCTTGCAGACACAAAATATAACTATTATAAAATAGTTTATCTCCAGATCTTATTCTGTGGTAGGGTGTTGGATGCATAAGGCTCTCCCAAGTAGGCTGTCCACAGTCAGTGCTGTTACAGTGCTTGATAGCTAGGTGGTGTGAGAGAGTTTCGCGTTGTGCAGATTTCTATACTCAGGTGAAACTGAGGGAATGGACATATGTCCAGTATTCTTGTATACTTTATAATGCTCTGTATAATGCTCCTCACTTTCTAAGGATAGCGTTACCCAGGATTTAACTGATTTATGCAGATTTAAGCTGGGTTTTTTTTTCATGTAATCACTCTAATTTTACTGTGGAGTAAAGTCTCTTTACTTTTTAGTAAACCTGTTGTGTTTGCTGGGTAGTGGGTATTGGAAGATCATTCCCAACGCACGCAGCATTTATCAGCAGCATTATTGGCCACATCAGCCAAAAAAAGCTGATTGCCAATAATATCAGTTTTCCTTTTATCAGTGCTGATATGATATGGACTAATATATTGGTGCACCTCTATTTATATCTAAAATTTTAGCAGTGAAATCCCTTTGTCCAATTGCCTAGGCCCTGAAAACTGTCATCTCCCCCCCCAGCTTGCTTATCCACTCCTGCAAACATTTTGAAGAATAGGAGTGTTTCAAACAGTTCTTGATAGACTAGAGAACTGAGTACCAGACAGTTCAGCAAAGACATATGCAAGGTGTTAAACCTAGGGAAGAAAGCCAAATGCATAAATGCAAAATGGCAGATAATTAGCTTATCAGCATTGCTCAGCAGTATGAGGGGGTTGGGATAAAGATTCAGTTTAAGGCAGCCCTATGATACAGGTGCAAAAAGAAAAATAAAAACATACAAGTGTAGCGTGCAGTAACATGAGTGCTGTATATAAGACACAGGGGGTAATAGTATCACTCTACACAGTGCTGGAAAGACCTCAGCTAAAATATTGTGTATGGTTCTTGGCTGTGTAATTTAAGAAGGATGTGAAGGAATTGGAAGATATCCAGAAGCAAGCAACAAAAATAATAAAGGGTTGAAATGCAAGGTACATGAGAAAAATTAAAAGAATTCAGTATGTTTATGTTGGTGAAAAGGAAATTAAGCAGGTGAATGATTGCAGTTTTCAGATATTTGAAAAGCTGCTATAAAGAAGGGAGAGAACAATTGTTTTCCCTTGCTGAGGAGGGTAGGACATGGAGCTATGGCTTTATACTGGAGCAAAGCAAATTAGGATTAAGCATCAGAAAAACCTTCCTTATTGTCAGATCAGTATGGTGGCGCAAGCTGTCCAGGGAAGTTGTGGCATCTCCTTGATTTGAGGTTTCTGAGTTGAGGCTGGAGAGGCATTTGTGTGGAATAGCATGGGAATAATGCATCCTATAATTGTGCAAGGAATTGGACTAGATAACCCCTGAAATCCCTTCCAATCCTAAGATTCCATGACACTATTTGTACTTAATTCTAGAATTCTATAATGCCATTGGTCTTCACTTAATAGCATGAGAAACAAAGTTCTAGAAGAAAATAATACATTTCACTGCAGTTCACTCCTTACCACTCTGCAGCATTTTTGAGGGTCTTAGATCATGGTCAGGGAGGGTGAAATGGCTCAAACTAATACTCAAAGTATTGGACACTGATTGTTGTTTGGCTTAACAGAAACATCTGTCATTTTCCATTAGCAATTGAGACATTCTAGCTGGTTAATTTTAGGCTCATATTGGGTGATCCTGGGATCTCATTTTTTTTTTCATGGAAAATATACATGCTTTCATAGAACACCTAAAACATGATTTGAAAGCAATAGCGAATCTGCTTTTTCAGAATAAGATATTCTTAATGTTGAAGCCATTCCTATTTTGTAAAAAAACTGATAGAAAACTTATTTTTTTTTTTACATGATATGCAAATGTTAATGTAAACTACTTATAAGTTAATCTGGTGACTGTATAATTAAATATAGATTAGTAAAGTTTTTCATTTAAATTCAGAATTTCTCAACATTTTAGAGATGTCCTTACATAGCCCCATAAGCTGGATTTAATTTTATTGACAGATACCTTGAACTGGTTTGTGCTTGTACATGATTGATTGCTTTGCTGGTTATTTGTAGCGTCTTGAAGTGTCTGCTTCCCTTTGTTCCCCATCTGAATTTTCTTGCAAGCTAATACCTTCCAAGTTAGTGCTCTAAACCAGTGGTTGTCAACTAGGGATATGCATACCCCTAGGAGTACTTAAAAATGTTCTATGGGGTATGCAGAATGAATGAGAAAAATTAGATCATTGGTCCCATATCGGATCGGCACCAATATAAGGAGAATTAACTGTATCAGCAATTGGCTTTTTTGACTGATATGGCCAATAATGTGGCTGATAAATGCTGTGTGCTTGCATGCAGCTGCAGTGCAGCATGCAGGTGGCCAGGAGTGCAACACTGCACTGGGGCCAGGAGAGCAGCTAGGTCTGGCTGGAAAGTCTGTTGTGAGGGAAAGGGTGAGGGGGGAGCAGATCAAGGCCCCAGTGGTGCAGGAGGGAGTGGGGTTGGAGCAGGGGCTGCCCAGGTGGAGTGGGGTGTGGGACTGAACCATGCATGGCAGGGGTGGGGTGGCTCCTGCCACTACGCACACTCCCAGGATGGTGTGTGCTCTGGATCTGCATGTGGGGTGAGGGTGGGCTACCGCTATGGGCTAGGGCTAAGGCAGTGTTCCCAGCAGGGGTGTTGGGCCAGGCTGTGTTTGGGGCAGGCAGTGGTGGCATCGCTGGGTGGAGAGCTTGGGGGGCTATAGTGAATTTGAGTGGCTGCAGCCCCTCCCATAACCCCCCTTCCAGCGCCACTGCCTGCCCCAAATGCAGCCTGGCCCAGCCTCCTGCTGGGAGGAACCTGGCGCAGCCCTAGCCCCACTCCCTCCCTCACTGCAGGGGCCTCAATCTTTTCCCCCTCGCCCCTATGATATATGTATATATTTAATGCATATATTAATACTGCATTTAATATTAATTAGTGTAGCCTGCCTTGTATCACATAATTGGTAACATTAAAAACAAGAAAAAAATATAAAAGGGGTACATGAGCAGAAACTGAGAAAGAAGGGGTACACTTGTTAAAAAAGGTTGAAAACCCCTGCTGTAAACTATAGATTTGAAGGCAGGAATTACTGAATTCTAATCCTTGATATTCATACATCAGGTGGGGCCAGAGGCAGGTCACATGCAGCAACATTTTTAAGAGTCCACTGAACTTGATTGCTGCAATTTCTGGGTTTGATTTTTCTCTTGAAATATTTAGGAACTGTACCACAGTGAAATTAATCAGAATTAATTTCAAGTTTCTGTATAAAGCAGGACTACAGAAACTGAGGCATCCAAAAATAGTGGGCATTTTGTAAGTTTAATGCTTAAGCTCAGAATTTTTTTCTGATCATGTGGAAGACAATATTGGTAGCAGTTTTTCAGAAAACTTCATTAGTTATTTAAAGTTAAAGCAAACACATTTTATCAATAATTCTTTTTATTGCTTTGTGTCATTTTTACTCATAAAATTCTATTCATTCTACTATACTATATGTATTTAGGGTTAAGTAAGATAAAACCACATTCAGCTGCTTGAGTATAATTTATTAATTTTAGTAAGGTTTCATCTAAAATTTTATGTCCTTAGATACTTCCTAAAAAGAAGCCAGTTATCCCTCTTTGTCCTTTGGGATATTGCAGATTATTACTGTTCTAAGATTTAGTAGCCTGCTCTTTCCCTTGGGCTGAGTGTATAACCCTGTATAACACAACTTGATAAAACAGACTAAAATGCAACTAGTGATGTCTATTAATTTATTCCAAGCATAGATCTAAACCATATCACTGCTGAAACTACAAACCTTTAAATTTTTAAAATATAAACTTCATTTTTATTAGGAAAAAATAGGATTATTATGTTCTTTTTTCTTTTGTCTTTTTTTTTTAAAACAAATAGTTAGAAAAACCTATTTATAGAAAGTTCGTTGATATTCCAGCAATCTAAGGTATTTGCTTTTTGTCTAAGTACAGACAGTCAAAAAGCCCGAGGCTGAATCTGCAATCTTTGCAGGTTAGTGTAAACTGTGTAGATCAAACTGTTTAAGCAAGGGAACAGGCATTCACTTTTGATTGTGGAAATGCAGCCACATGCCTTCAGTGGCCCAGGCCAGAAACCAAAGGGCACTAGAGCATACCGTTCTGCTCAGCTGAAACAGACAGCTGGGGTCAAGGCTAATATGCCAACCTGTGGGGGGCAGGGGGTATTTGCAGGGGAGGTGCAAACTATTCTGGGATGCTGGGAGACTGAATTAATTTGAATTTGGAGGGGATCTGGGACAGAAGTTCAGTAAACTGACTTAACCTAAATCAGTTAAGTCTGATACTACATCCATCTAGGTTTTATGTGCACTGAACTAATGTTGTGTTACAGATTTGAACTGTTTTCCAGTCACTTGCACATAAACTGGTATAATGTCCCTACCCAGTGTCAGTATTCTCAATACCTTACTGCTTATGCTCATTAATGTAATTATCATTTTCCTTTTGGCTGAAAGTCATGGCTGAGATTTAATGAATAGCTTTATAAATTAGGTTGGATGGCTTTATGAAATTTTCAATGACTTAAATTTGTTCAGTTAGTTCTTGGTTCTAAAATTGCAACAAAAGTTTGTTAGAATATTGTTAGAATATAATATTGGATATGAGCCAGCAGTGTGCTCTTGTTGTAAAAGAGGAGCCAACAGTATACTGGGTTATAGTAACAAGATTGTTGCTTACAGATAAAGAAGTGTTTCTTCCATTCTGGCACTACTGAGGCCTAAATTGCAGTACTGTGTATCCAGTTGTGGGTGCCATGCTTCCAAGGTTATGGACAGATTGGAAAGAGTCCAATAGAGAGTGACAAAAAATATTAGAGCCTGGGAAACATGACTTATGAGGAAAGGCTGAAAGAAGTAGAGTTATTTAGTATGGAAGAGAGAGAATGAGTGATGATTCTGATAAATTGTCAGATACCCAAAGGGAAACTTATAAAGACAATAGGGAAAGAATATTGTCTGTGGCCATAAGGGACAGAACTAGGAACAGTGGCCTGAAGCTGCAGCGGAGGAATTTTAGGTTGGAGATTTGGAAGAACTTTTTTTTAACTCAAAGGATCAGAACAGATACCTAGAGAAACTATAGAATTGCCAAATCTGCAAATTCTCAAAACCAAATTAGATATCTGGCTGTGGTGGTAAGTCAGGGTTGTTTCTGCTTTGAGCAGGGAGCTAGACTACCTGACCTCATGTGGTAGTTTCCAGCCCTAATTTCCTATGACGTTAGAATTGTTTTGTAGTACTATTTATGAGGAACCTTTTCTGACCCAGATAAAAAGAGTGAATGTTAGCTCTAATTGTTTCTTTTCCTTGATGCTTTCTAAAACAGAGAAAGTTCTCATTTACTTCTTTTTTTCCCCTCCTCGTTCTTCAGTTTTCAGCGTGGATTGCAGCACAGTGGAATGCCCTCCTGTTCTGGAAGTCATTTGCCCCCTGGATAGCTATGAAACCCAAGTCAGGCTGACTGCTGATGGTTGCTGTACTCTGCCTACAAGGTTTGTGTCCGCTTTTGATTTGTTAAAAATTCTTTTTCTATGTCTCACTTTGTTGTACTGTGTGTGGTATTAAATTTGATATTCTAAACATAGATACTGAAACTGTCTGTAATAGCCAGATTCATTTGCTAATGAATAATACAGTGGCAACCACCGTATACACATATTTAGTATTCAGATGATATTGGTTACAATCTTAAATCATCAGCTTCATAAACTTCTAAGTCCAGTGAAGTCTCTGAAACAAAATTCTTCTTAGGTATTTTGCAGATATTCGTAATTGTCAAATTAGATAGGTAGTGTACTTGGATAGGATAATCAGAGTTTGGTTGACCAAATGCAAATCATTTTATGAAACGGTTGAAGTTATTTGATCTGACAATGAAGAAGTTGTTTAGGGCATTCCAAAAGATGGTACCAAAGAATAAATCCTACCCGGTTAAAGAAAAAGAAAATATTTGTGCCTATACCCAAAGATAGACCATCAGAGGGAGGTTTTCAAGAGCTCTGTGAAAGTATAAGTTTTCCTCCCAGAACTGTTCAGATAATAAGTGTACTTTTAATCATATAAAGGTCATAAATACTTCAGAACAAAGAAGTCATTTAAAAGTTTGGTAGTTTTGTGGAGTCCTGTACAAAAATATTATTGTTAGTAGCAAGTTATATTAACTTGCAGTACCAAAAAAGATGCATCTAAAATGCAGGTCCATAGTATGTCAATGTGAATACACATTGCTTTGAGCCAGAAAAGCTTAGATAGACGTTGTAAAAAATTAAGACCAAAACAGAAAGGATTTCCAGTAGCAAGCCAAGTCCACCAAAGTCTTCACCCAGTACCACATGTCATATCCTCTCACATCTGATATGAGAGGGAATGTTAAAATTCTAAGGGTTAGAGAAGCAAACTCGTAACATGTCAGGGTCCTAGGGGTGGCTGTGGCACACCCTGGTGGCTCTGTGACCATGCCTTGCTCTGCCCCAAGGATGCTCTCTTGTCTCTCCTGCCATGCCTTGATGGAAATATAAATTAATAAGGAGGCTGCCCATAGACCTTTGTGTAGCCCACAAAGGGTCCCCACTAGGGGACTCCACTAGGGTCCCCAGCACCCTAGTTCTCACTGGTAGCAGGCCCCTGGCTGGGCCTGTGTAGTCAGCTGTGCCTGGCAGGGCACCTAATGCCTTGTGAACTAATTGTGTGGCTCCAAATTACCATGCCCAATGCCTCATGGGTGTTACCGGTATGTCATTCTCTCTGTTGGGGCTTCAGCCTCCTTGGCCTCTCTCCCTTTAATCTCATTAGGCCTTCTAGCTTAGGCCCACTGAATCAGACCTGGCTTATGTCCCTTCTAGTCACCAGGTCCCTGTCTCCTGGACCCCTGGCCCCTCAGTGGCTGTGCCCTCTCTGGTTTGGGCCCCTGGCCCATCTGTTTGAGCCTGCCCCCAGCAAGGCTGAAGGCAGTCGTATACCCCCTGGGCATTAATTAGGCCTCCTTACCTCACCTTTCAGCCTCATCCTAAACCACCAGTAAAACAGTAACATAAATCAAAAGCCTCTGGACTGTGACATAAACTACAACATAGAAAGCAGCCCTCTATTCCTCTAAGAGGGCAAGCCTTCTTTCTCCCCTTGTGCCAGTGTACCTCCCAGCATAGGTTCCTTGTGAGCTCTTCAAGCCTCAGCGTTCCTACAGGCAGCAAACAGTCAGCCCAGCATGCCTGGGTGGCTCCCCTGGGCAGGAGCTTCTTCCCCTGTGGCAGCCAGAGAGAGACTCCTCTGCTAGCCCCAGCCTTGGGCTTATATGCTGCCAGGGCCCTGCCTACATCCTGTCAGCTGACAGCAGCCAGCCCAGGGAAATTGCCTCAGTAGCCCTGTTGCTCTGGTGACTGGCAGCTGCTGCTCCCTGCCTACCCTGCAGAGCACCCTAGCTGGGCTGCTTTCCCTCTTAAAGGAACAGAGAATCTCAGGCTTCTGTGACACTCATGTCCTTTAGGTCCATGTGTTAAATATGTATCTTTACTTACATGGTCATGTGCTATTGTTGCTATGTAGTACCTGTTTCAGTTGATATCAAGAAAATGGAAAAAAAAAAAAGTTAAAAAAGTGTAAGAAGTTTTAAGTAATTTATGCAAGCAGAAATGAAAAGGAAAACTAGATGTAATGTAGCTGCATTGTCTACCTAAGTTAAGAAATAACTAATCATTTCAGTAGAAATGTATTCATTATTTTAACTAGATTTTATTAGCCATGCTTAAAACACATTCTTTTTAAATGTTGCATTTTAAGTACATTATATCTTTCTTCATTGTTCAGTGAATGTTTCCCTGCTCGCTCACTGATATTTTCCTTCCACACATCTCAACATGTACAGGAAGGGTCAGTTTTTCCCTCTGTTATTCACACATGAGTAAACATTTGAACTCTGAATGTACTCTGGACTTTCAATGTTATAACTGCAGATTTGGCCCAGTATGATGTGTGGATTCCTGTTTCATTAACCTTCCTTCCTTCTTTTGCAGATAGATTTTACATCCCTACCTTGGGAGTAGAGGTGCTGTATATAAGATTCTGTGAAGGAGCACATAAGCTCCACATCTAGGTTAGGGCAAAGTTTCAGCCAGTTGCCTGTCAGCCAAGTGCCTGGTTTAGCTAACTGGGATTGAGCAGTGGGTTCTGGATTTTATGTTGCTTATTAAGACAATTTACTAGTTATCATCAGGTACCTCAAATGAAATTAGTTGTGCATGCTACTATGTTGAAACCATAGTGCAGTTTGAGTATTAAGCCACCAGTGGTTCCTATTTGCACCATTCAAATGTAAAAAGGAAGGACCCTGAGAAGTGAAATTTGTTAGAGTGAGGCCAATCTCAGAAAATTGCATCTGTCCATTGTACTAACACTGTTGTGCTGAAGTGTAGTGCATCAGAGGTAGCTGGTGTCAGATCCCCGTAAAGCTGTATTTAGGGAAGCAGGATTGCAGAGGTTACGGAGCCTGTCTGGGTAGTGAAACTAGGGAGGTGACAACAAAGTATAGAAGTTCTTTTAGATGGAATCAAAAAAGGTGGACCGGGACTGTCATCCCTCTATAGCAGGAGTGCTCAACCCCCAGTCCATGGACCAAATCTGGCCATGGTGCACTGTCTTCTGGCCTGCGAGGCCCCTTGTGGGTCCAGATATTTGGTGGCAGGGAACAGGTGGCACCAGTTCCCTGCTACTAAATTTTTAGAACCAAGGGGAGCCTCCAGCCCTGTGCACTGGATCAGGTGCACTATCCTAGTGTGCAGGGCTGGGCAAAGGTGGTGCCTGGTCCCAGGGCCCAATCTCAGCACATTAGGGCAGTGCTGGCTGCCAGAGCCCAGTTCCAATGTGGGGGGCTGGGAAGGGGCAGCACCAGGCCCTCAGGTCTCAATCTCAGTGCAAGAGAACAGGAAGAGACAGCATCAGGCCCCTGGGGCCCAATCCCAGTGCACAGAACATGGAGGTAGCAGTGCTGAACCCACAGGCCCAATCCTGGCATTCAGGACTCGGTCTAACCTATGAACCAGCCCTGTAGCACTCATCTGGCCTATGGGGCCAAAAGGTTGAGTACCACTGCTCTGTAGCAAAGGTGAACACAGTTATAAGCCTTGATGCAACAAAAATGTATACTTAGCTTGCACTGAAGTCAGTGGGACTCAACACAGAGATAGACTTGTAAACATATTTTTGGTTTGTTGAATTGGGGTCATAAGGAACAGGCCAAATCTTTTTCTTAAATTGTTTTGTTAAAATTAACCTCTGTGTGTCTTTTCTGCAGGCTTAAATCCTGTGGAAAATTGCAAAATGTATAACTTTTCCAATTGAGACATTTTTGGGAGCCTGAACCCCACCCCCCAACCTTTATCATTGTATGAAAATGTCATAAAGACATGACCTAATATAGATTTCAGTTTTTTAGAAATTTCACAAAATCTGGTACTATTTTAATGAAATGAACAAACTACTTTTGCTTTCTTAAAACGTAGTATGTATTAAGAAATATAGACTTTTCTTTCAAGAACTATAATTTATTTTAGCAGCAGCATGTCAATTAATGCAAGCTCAGTAACAGTACAGTTAAAGAGCACCTGGAGTACTAAACTTCGGGAATGGATCGATAGATGAATTTAAATCACTGACTTGGCAGATGTTGAGTTATTTAAGTGGGAGGAGAGAGACTTCTGTCTTGCATGTTTGTTTCCAACTGGTCAGAAAAGGTATGGAACGATATGCTATTTTGGGAATCAGGAGCCCTGTGAGTCTATTTCAGGAAATGGGATGGAACAGACCTAAAAAATATTATCCTTAGAAGTATCTTTAGCAATTGTCAACTCATTTTGTATTTCAAATAAAATAATTAAATGTAGTTATTTTTGCTTTGCTTTCCTGATGTGTAGCCTTAACTGAAGTGTTGTATGCATAAATGATTGACCAGATCTGAATTAGCCTTCCACTACAGCTAAAAATAATATATATAGATTGTGTGTGTGTGTGTGTGTGTGTGTGTGTGTGTGTGTGTGTGTGAATGGCAGACAATAGTTGTGAATGGCAGACAACGATTCAGTGAGTGGGAAAATGTTTGGAAAGTTGGTGCATAGTGCCAGGTAGATTTTTGTAATGAAGCATTACAGACATGGTGGACAATTATGGTACGAGTTAACATTAAAATAAAAGGTTGCTTCAGCCCTTGTACCCTGAAATAAACCACTTGTCTTAGATTTCCAAATATTTCACTCAAAAGGGAGTGGATTTAATTGGTATATTTTTCATTATGAGATAGAAGGTATTGCCGGTTGGGAATAGTTCTTCTAGTCTTGCGAATCCTTTAGAAGGGTTCCATATAGGTGTGGGGTGCATGACTATTAAGTTTAATTCACTGAGGGTAGGATTAGAAACAGGAACTTAATGCTAGGAGGCCAAGCATCTTGGCTTTTCTTTATGTTCCCATTACACTGGCAATTTAAGAGAAAGTCCATACATACCA